GGGGTTAAAAACCTCAACTAATTAGTTGGGGTTTAAAACCGCCAAGAAATTTGCAATTTCCAGGGGTTTCTAAAAACCGCCGTTAAGACGTTCCCTACGGATGATTTACCGGGGGTTTGTGCAACCCCTGGAAATGTGTTTAGCGGGGGTTATAACCCCGGTTAAATTCAAAATTAACCCCCATTAAATCCTATTTTTTTTGTAGTGATAGTATGTTTTTGTGACTTTCTTTCTTGAACAAAACCAATAGGGAAGGCAATACATGTATTCACAGCTAGTTGCGTGCATGCTATTTTCACACTCGTTTAGTCACGAAATTAGTTACAACATTGCTATTTTCTTTTTTTGGACCTTTACTTTTGAAGAGTGGTGATTTTTAGACACCCAACAATACAAACACTCCATTAAGATCCGCGGTTGTTGTTCTTTATCTTTTTTGTTTTATTTTTTGCCTTATCACATCATCAATTATATTCACTACGTATATTTTCATATCTTTCTAAGGGTGGACATCCCTTAAATACTCAAATATCTTTTTTCATTAATGAATACAGATACTCCATGTATACTCACTAATAATGAAATGAAATGAAAGATAATGATTTTATCATTATTCAACAATTATTTTCCTATGATACCAATGAGGGTAACAATCATGAAATTACATAGTAAAGTATGATTATTTGCTTTTTTTTTTAATCACCATGATAATACAATTCAGCACGAACTCAAGTTATCAATTTGGTATCATATACTTTTTTAAGAAGTATAATTTTTAAGCATTTAATTAATAATGAAACATCTTTACTTTTATATAATTTTATTATTATTTTATAAAACACGATATTATGTTTATATTAATATTATTTATTTGGAAATATATATCATAAAACCGATGTACAACTAAACTCTACATATATAGTATTATGATTGATATATATACTTTATTCACTAGTACAAAAGAAGTATTTTATATCTGTTATTTTAGGATTTTTGCGTTAGAAATAAGCTCAACGTTAATGCGGAAGACGTAAATTTACGTCGGACTATACCATGTCCGACTTAACTTTATGCGCTTTTTTTTTTAATTTGATTTACTTTTTGATACATCCAAAACATGCATACAGCCCAGAATACAAAATCAAGTAGTACACCTAACCCAGACAGTCTAGAATACAAATTCAAATATAATTTATATTTCAAAATTTAATCACAAAAAGAAAATAATATATAAATCTTAAAAAGCATAAATTAAGACAATAATGTAAACCTTATTATCTTAAAAAAGCTACAGAACCTAAGTTTGTCAATGCTATCAAACTAGAAATATAATATTCAACTAACTAATTAAACTTAGAAACGTAACTATCATATACTTTGAAGTAACAAAATTGTCCATTGTTCTCTTGTCTTTGTGATTTCATATTCAGGCAATGAAGATGAATCTTGAAAGACCTGAAACATTAATTTAATTATCGTTAATATGCAATGTTAATTATCATAAAGGTAAATATACTTAAATAAATTTTGATATGAATTACCTCCACTCAAGAATCAGTAATACCCGCAGAAACTATGACTCTCATCCAATATATAATGTAATAGCCACATTCAAATGAGTATGTTTGCTTATTACACTAAAATGAGAAACAAATAACAATATTATTTCCAAAGTTGATAAATTCAAATATTATTGATAACATACAAGTACCAAAAAATCATATACACAACTATAGCTACACATTGTCAATAAGGACTTAAAATAGGAACCAAATTCTTAACATATACGTACCAAAAACAATACACCCAAATTCATAACATATACCTACGGAATAACCTTAAATCCTCCAAAACAACACACACAAACAATGTTTAAGTTCAAAAATATCCTCCAATCCAATCTATTTGCACTAACCTTGAATCTCAACACCTTCGAGTACCCTTAAACGCTAACTAAGCAAGATGCGCACCAAAACTTCAATACAATCGGATAAAATGGTCTGCAATGATGAATAGACGTTGCCACCACTGTCGCCGCCGTTCAACGTCACCGAAAACACCCAAGATGCGTAGAAACTCGTCGTCGGAGATTGCCTGAATGTTCTACAAATAAAACCCTAGAGCGCGCGCGAAGAAATGAATCAGGGAAAGGGGATATAACAAGTTTTTTACGTCGGACACCATGAGGTCCGACGTAAATTTTTAAATCTACGTCAGACTATATAGAGGGCCGACGTAGATCTTAAATTTTACGTCAAATTTAATGGTGTTCGACGTAAAAAAACTTGGTTTAAATTTTAAAAATACTACCGCATTTTTTTATGTCAGATTTTTCGTTTTTCAACGATAATACAATGACGTAAATAACAGATTTTGTACTAGTGATTCATCCCACAATGAATGTTTCAAAATAAATGATATTTTCACTTTTCAATGTAATATTAATTTTACTAATTTATTCTTCATTAATTATCAACTATTACAATTAAAAGTAATACATTTATTGAGAAAGTGAATTATTTTAGTAAATTATATTAAAAAGTGATATATTTATTGTTATCTTTAATTTGTATGCAGAAACCTTAAATTGCAATCATTGTGAAACAAAAAAAAAATACTATGTTGTTAACTAGTGAAAAAGAAGGCATTTCCTACTTCTATGATGTCTCGCTTTGAATATACACATGTTAGTGAGAGTATTGTGCAATTACAGACAATTTTAGAGATAAAACTTCTATATAAAATTTATTTTTTGTCCTTTATTAATTATTATCATGCGATTTATATGATTTTTATAATGAGTTAAAAATTTTCAAAAATAATGTATATATCAAAGTAAAATATCATTTTTATGTATTGATTAGTAAGATAAAAAATTTCATATCTTTATTTATTTTATAAAAAAAATAATAATTTTAAGAATAATTGTGTAATGCATAATGAAAATTTTCATTTATAATAAAAACATAATACATAATTATTTAATAAAAATTTTATTTTAAAAATAAAATAATCTCATTAAAAGTAGATATAAAAAGCGGTGGAGGAGAAAAGTAACTCTTTTATCTATTTCTATAGATATCAATATATTGAATTATTGATCTTAATTTTATCAAAATTTTGAATTTGATAGAACCAGATAACATCTAGCACACGGTAAAATCAAGATAGGTATTCTGGGGTAACTTTGATGTGAATTGGGGTCTCTGAAATGTTTTACACCTCAGGATTAAGACGATACTAGGAGTAATAATGAGTTCGTACCCTTTTTAAGTTATGTGAATGTTGTCAAAGTACTTTATTTGTTCTCGAGACAAATTTTCCAAATCTTAAATGTGCTTACCGTACTGAAACTCATTTTATTCCTGTATTAGCCTAATTATGATTACATCTTTCAGTGGGGTATATGAAGACTTCAAAGTTCATATTAATGATTTTTTTAATGCTGTCATATTGCGGTTTCTAACAATAATTGCGTTTTGGTTATAGTTAATTTAAAGAAGAATAACAGTTTTTACATATTTTCTATTGGTTACATCTTACTCTTTACAACACATTCTTTGCAAACAAAGTGTGGGACGTCACCCAATAATTGAGGGTTTTAAAATATTAGTTTTAAGGTTGTGTGCTTTTAATATTCTTTTTAAAGTAATGATTATATGATATCAATATATAATTTTGAAAAAGGAATATTTTAAAAGAGTATGCAACATGATTAAATAAAAGAGGGAGTTAATTTTTATTTATTCTTAAATATATGTTGACAACATTTCTGTTAAAATAATCACATTATGATTCTCAACATCAAAAATAAAAATAAAAAAATATTAGCCATCACTTAATCACTTGTGGTGCAAGTATAAGCAGCATTTCTGCAAAGTTCAACTAGAGTAGTTATAGACTATAGATCAGCTGACAATTAAGCCTCAATTTCTGTGGCAAAATCCTGCTTGATTTGGCACTCTTCCAACAAAGTGATAAAAAATTAAGCTAAGATCCATTCATTTGTGCCTTGGAGATGCCATCACCACTAACATATAATAATTGTACTTACAATTTTTTAACTATGATATCAGGATGAAATATGTATTGTTAAAAGTTGTAACTAATCTTCACTGAACTGTGAGAGTACACAAAATAAGCATTTTTTCTCTTAATAAAATCTATTTATTTCATACTTGAGATTAAGATTTGAACCTTAAATAAATTGATTAAAGAACACAAACTATTACTTGTACAACTAACGTTGATAATTGCATAGCATTATACAATATGATATTACAGAAAGTGTCTAAACTGAAGTTTTACAAGAAAACAAAATCACCAAAGGAACATATATGACAATAAACAGGAGCCAATTAAGCAAATAAGAAGAGTAGAGACAGAGAGTGTGTTAAACCAGGTTGCTAATATTTTTCATGCATTATACTAATGTGCTAAATATCTACCACCAATGCATCAATCTTAGACGAATCACAGGCACTCCTACCACTGCTGGAAAGGCTCCACTGATCAGACACTATGCTTGCTGCAGCAGAAGCAGGCAAAATGCCACCTGCAGCAACCCCACATTTGGCCACAATCCTAACACTCTCTATCAACTCCTTGGTTCTGGCCTCTTGTGACAAAATGTCCATCAACTGTTGAGGAGTTATCACAAGCTTCACTTTCCAAAACCTGCTGCTCTTACTACTAGTAGTAATGCTGCTTTTACTAGTACTAGTCCTACAAGAGTAAGGTTCTGTGGAAGTTTTCTTGAGAAATCCAACTCCTTGGTGGTGTTGGTAGTCCAAGGACATTCTATATAGTGGAGGGTAGGGGGTTGTAGGAACACTATGAGAACGAACATGGCCTTGCCGGATGGCGCGGTTGTCACCGGCGATGTGGCCGGAGGCAGAAGGGTGTTCAAGTTGGTTGTTAAGTGGCAGCAAGTAGTATGACTGTCCTGCCACCAACTCATCAAATTGGCCAAGTGGTTTGCAAAATGGGTCATGGCTTGGGAATAAGCCATGCCCCGGGAACTCATTGGTGATGAAACTCACAGTAATTGGAGCATAGAATTCCATGATGCCACCATTTGATGTTGTGACTTTGATCACTGTTTCAGGATCTGACATGCCCCCTAACAAGCAGTTTCCCATGTTGGACTTGAAATCTTTGTGGAAGTAATAGTGATGGTCTTGTTCTTTGTAAGTATATATGGTAACTAGTTTGGTTCCTTGGAGGGTATTCAAGAGCGGGAAACTTGTGGGGATGTAAAGAAAAAGATGTTTGTGGTGGATTCTTCTTGGTGGGAAATTCTGATGAAGAATATTAGAGTAATACCATAACACCACCCTAAGAGTATTATAAAGTTAATGTGATATTCAGGTTTAGTGTCACATGTTACGTTTTAAAAGTTAATAAAAGTACTTCTTTCTCTGGAGTTTTGGCAAATTAGATTTGGCAAAAGCAGGGTTGGGAAGAAAAAGAGTGTACTTGAACAAGTTTGCACGGTTTATGATGGTTCAACATTTGTTGCAAAACATACTCATCAGTCAAAAGATGAATAAATAATGCATGTGTGTAGTTTTCACCGAGTCTTTGAATAAACACAAAAGAGGAAAAATGTAGTTCGAAATTCATTTTGGTCCCACCATGCTAGGCCCATCAGAACAGAATGGAAGAAAGCAAAAGGACTTGTAGATATACCTGCCAGTTCTTCGCCCTTTTTCTTTTTTCTTTTGACACTTTATCTTTATCCTTTGGTAAAGGCATCAAGGTGTCAAGAAACTAAAAAATCACTCCGTGCTATCATTGTGGAAAATAAAATTACAATCTTGTAAAATAATGTCACGAAGAATAGTTTATTCTGCTTGCTTTGGATTTTGTTCTACCAATTATTGTGGGATTTCATGCTCATGTCACATCTACTATAATCTCTTTGCTTTGGATTTTCACTTAAGGTTGGGGAAACTGTCTAGTGGAAACAACACTCAGAATCATATTACATGGAAAATCACTCGTGATTGAAAAATATATTAATGGAAATTCTATTGACTAACCTTCAATCCATGACTTTAAACAAGTTGGGCATTTCATGTTATCCAGTGATGTAATGAAGGTATAAAATATATAAGTGAAAAATAACTTTTGTCCCATCAACTAGTTTTTCTAGTTAAATTTAAGTTACATTCAAATTTTAAGATAATAATAATCTATTCTAGTGAATATTGTTAGACTTATTAAATCATAAATATCCAACCTTATTTCATGTTAAAAAATGTCTGATTCTCAATTGCAAGAAAGTATATTAGAGATCTTCTATTAATCAATGATGTGATCATAATCGTATGTAAATATGTAAGTGAAGAACATTTCTCCACTCATGAACTAATTTTAGAGTCGAGTTAAATCCAAACTTATATTCTAATTAATGAAAAATTATTAAAAAATACATGCATATAATTTGGGTATTTTCTTGGGTTAACTCTTTATGTCCATGGTTCTAATCTGTGATGCCTTGTAAACAAAATATGAAAGAGAAATAAATGTTGGGCAGGTCACAATAGGTACACTCTCGAGGAAAAAAGTCAAAGTTCAAATTTTGGAATACGAGGAGGGCCTACACAAAAATTATGGACTATCAAATATGCATGATCCCATACAATCTTTACAGGTGTTTAAAAATTTTAATAAAAAAAGTAATAACACTTGATTATATTTTATGTAGAGATTTATTAGGAATTATGTCGAGTAGAAGCACCTAATAAAAATGATGAGAAATGTTAAAGATGATGGAAATAGATGAAAGGCAAAAAATTAGTTCGAAACTTAGGGGTGTATTAAATTAGGATTTTAAAGGACTTTTATAGTTAAAAAAAATCTTATAGATTTTAAAAGATTTTGCAGGATTTTCATGACTTTTAAGATTTTGTAGGATTCTGCGAGACTTAAAATTAGGATTTTAATGGATTCTGTAAGACTTTTAAATCAGGATTTTTATGGATTTTAAGGGATTTTGTAGAATTTTCGTGGATTTTTGACACAGTAAGTTTACATAAATTTATTTCGTTCAATAATTTATGTTCTACATCAAATTTTAACGGTTTAACCGTTGAATTTAAAGTTTTTAATGCATAGATCAAGTCTACAAAATTTTAAAAAAAATTTAAAAATCAGTGTCTACAAGTAGTGAGGCCTAGGATATTTATAAGTGATGGATGATGTAATCCTAGGGAGTGGTGACGGCTAGGTCATCATTTGAACAATCATTTCCATTCAAAAATGTGAAGGAAATAATGAGTGCCACATGTGCCACACATGGTTTGGCCAAAAGTAACATCTTTTTGGGTCAAGCTTAGCTACAACTAGGTGCATGGTAAAAACATGCAACCTAGGTGCCTTCCTACTTGGGTCAATGCCTCACTTAGCCCAAAAGATCCTTTTATACACTACACCACTTATAATCTCCTTAGTAGCCCACGAACTAAACACTAAGCATCCCATACTACAAGGACAAAAGAAATACAAGAATAAATACTAGGTTCTAAGGTACCCCATGTTGAGTCAGACGAAGCAATCCCTAGCAGGGTTTTGAGTGATACAAATATAATACATGTTGTTATTACTAACAAGTGTGTTAGCGTTTCAGAAAAATATAAGTATAGGCATAATGAAGAATAGAGCATGTGCAACTTCCCACACCAGAACCAAGACAAAGGGTAAAGAACTATAAGGCATCAGATGAAGAGATCAAACGAAGCCAAGCCCAGCACAAGAAGGAAAACAATGAAGCCTCAGACGATAAAAGGCCAAAGATAATGGATGAGGACAAGACGAAGAATATGGAAAAGCGTCTAAAGTCCACAAAGATCATAGAAGAAGACATGTCATGCACACTAAGACGAAAGCTAGTTAAGCAAACGATTGAAGCTTAAGTCATGCAAGAAGAATTTGTTCCAATACCAAAGAATAAAACAATCACTAGTACGAAATGGATGTACCAAAGCAAATTGTATGAGTCAGGAAATATCACAAGGGAAAAAGCAAGTGGTTCAGATAAAGTTCGAACAAACAGACAAAGATCAACCAAAGCACAACACAAAAGTCAAGATATGTAAAGCAAGTATAAGGATGAAGTCTAATCCAAGCTGTCGAAGATACGAAAATAAGGCGTCTACAAGTTGAAGATTAAAGTATCAAGAAAAAGGCCAAAACAAGGTTAAATCTAGAACAAGACATAAATGGGCTAAGCATACATGAAGTTTGCACGAGCACCAGATGAAGCCAAATGGTCAATCAGATGGGGATGAGTCAAAGCAAGGCACACCATGAGGATGAAACAAACCAAGTCATATGAATAAATAAAGTATGACATGTGTACCAGACAATTATGAACCAAATGTCAGATGAGGATGTGTCAAGGACAACCTCAATTGTAATCTAATAAATTAGACGAAACATTGGTCAAAGAATAGAAGGAAGTCAACTATACATCAGACGAAGGACAACACAGATTGAAAGGAACTCTAGATGGAAACAAAATCTGTACACCTAGAAGTTGACCAGACCTACAAAAGAGTCAAAACATCAAGTCAAAAGCTCAGATGAAGATCAAGTTTTGAGATGCATAGGACTAACAGACGAAGATGAAAACTATCATGAAAGCATTTAAGGAATTATGTCTTCAAGGATAACTTAGGCATCGTCTACGATCATAAAAGCTCTCAAAGTGATTGCGCGAGTAAAAGTTGAAAAGAAGAAAGAGAAAATCAAGCGTAGAAGTAAAAGCATGTATTTGTTAGAAAAAAGTAGATTACTTTTCCAGAGAAGGATAATTCAACAACTACGAGACTAGAAAAAGGACAAAAAAGGTTCCTTGGTCTTTGCTAAATCAGACACAGCTACTAACTGAGCAAGGAAACTTCATGCATTGTTTATGAACAGGAAGCAACATTTAATACAAGAATCTGAGCATTAAACGAGAAGATCAAACTAGTCAAGAATGACTACATTAGCTTCAACGGACACTTGCAATGGGCAGATTTCACAAGACTATATATAGGTCTCAATATTGAACCTTAAAAGGTAGGCTGTTTGGCCCGAAATGATGCAAGCGTAAAGAAAAGTAATATCCAGCCCATGGTTCAACGAAACTAGAGACAGTGCGCATAGAGTCAAAAGTACATTAATGTATTCGTCTCAGTAAACTACAGAATTTCAAAATATGTACATCTTAACATCAAACCGTAGTGAGTGTAGAAACATATGTATCATCTCCTTGACAGTAACCCAAACACTCAAACCAAATCTGTCTAGCCAACAATGTAAAGCCTGAAGAGGATAGGAAAAGAATACTTGTAAAGCCCGGAGGGGCTTGTCAAAGAATACTTACTGCTAGCCAGAAGTGGCTGAGAAGAATATACTAGCGCTGGTGAGTGAAGCCAACGAGCCAGGAGTGGTCGAGAATACTTGGAGAACCAGAAGTGGTTTAAGAATACTAACGCTGGTGAGTGAAGCTGGCGGGCCAGGAGTGGTTGAGAATACTTGGAGAACTAGAAGTGGTTTAAGAATACTAGCGTTGGTGAGTGAAGCCAACAGGCCAGGAGTGGTCGAGAATACTTGGGGAACCAGAAGTGGTTTAAGAATACTAGTGTTGGTGAGTGAAGCCAACGGGCCAAGAGTGGTCGAGAATACTTGGACCAGGAGTGGTTGAGAATACTCATGTCCAAGAGTGGATGATAATACTCATTGTACTTTATTGCATATCTAGTGGAACCCTTCAGCTAAAGGAGACTGGACGTAGCTCAGTTGAGCGAACCAGTATAAAAGTACTTGCACTACTTTTATTTATATTTCAGATACAAATTTTTCTTAATTGTTAAATCATACTAAAAACTTCGTCCACCATTTATTCTTCATCAAAATCATTTCTTAGACGAAGACACAAACTTCTCTTAGCTTACTTATTACACTGAAAGTTTCGTCTACTGCTTGTTCTTCAATACGACTATCTTTAGACAGAAAATGCAAGGATTTAAATTATTATTATAAGAAACATTTTCCTTGAAGCAGACGATAAAACTCTCAGACAGAAAACCTTGAGCTGAGAAAATCTTGCATAATCGTCAAATGTTTTAAAAACCATATTTTATCAAATGAATCAAATCATCTTTGTGAAAAAGGTTTTAGATTTCTTTAAATTACACACACACACACATTCAACCCCCCCTTTTGTGTGTTTCTTATGTCTAACTTCACCCCAAAATACAAGGGTAAAATTATGAAATAAAAGTCAAGGGCAAAATAGGGATAAAATAAATCCTATACTAATGAGG